TTTCTGAAATACTATGTGGTGTATCAATGAATGAATGTCCAATTTTTAACAAGTATGCGTGGCATCCTTAGCACAAGACTCTTGTCCAGGGGTAATAATACTGTGGTCTACAAGTGCAAGGCCCTTGCCCGAGGGTAACAATACTGTGGTCTCATAACCCTTACCCGGGGGTAATAATACCGTGGTCCAAGTATGTTACAAGTTTCCCAATACCGGAGGTTCCTTATGGAACTAACAAGCATGATAAAGCTAATGGTGGCACCTCAGCAACCAAGGTAAGGTGTGATACTGGGTGTCCTAGTGCAAAACTAAGAACAAATGCACCTTATACACACACAAGAGTGAAATAGAGAGAGATATAGAGATAGAGAGATACAAATCCTAAACCTTAATCTCAGATCCTCTCTGGAACTTTTTTTTGGAACCTTGAGGAGGGAGGAGAAGCCCTCCCTTTATAGAGATTCACTCTTGCAAAGCTTACAAAACAAGCTAAGCAAGAGGGAAATCCCTCCATATACATGTATGGAGGGGGTGCATTGTGGATGCCAGCTATCACAGCTGGCATAAAATATCTGCTAAAAGCAGATGAACAGTGATCGGCCAGCCAAAAATGACAAATTGACCAAAACAATGGTTGACTGACCATAAAGAGTGCCGACCGGCCATAACCAATGGTCGGTAGCAACAAAATAGGGCTGGTGGCCTCAAGTCATGGCCGGTGAGGTGTAAGGATGGCCAACAAGCCATTTCCCACCCTCAAAAGCAAAAACAAAAGTGTTTAGTGCAAAACCAAACACAAAACAGGAAAGTCGAGAGGTCTTGAGGCAAGGCGCGTGGCCAAGACCTGCGAGAACTCAGGACGAACACAAACATGGATAATCATCGAGTGTTCAAACGATGACGTCAAAGTCTTGAGGACGGTCAAAAATGGGGTGTCTACTGTAATAACCCCGACTTGTGATTAGCTAATTAACCAAGATTAATTATGCCTAATAAGTAATTAAGATGAAATCCTAAGTTAATTGCATGTGTTATGAGCTATATGAGTCTCTATCTGTCTATCGTAAGAATTTTTATTTCAGTTTCTGTTTTTTATTGCGAATTGAAGGCCTTATCGGCATCCGATCACGAAATTGACTTAATTTATATGCTATTTAGGATTTTTAGAACATTATGGTAGGTTTAATTAGAATCCGGCTCAGAACGATTTAATTAGAATAATTAATGCTCAATTAAGCCTAATTAATGAATTCCTTAATCCAAGCCTATGTAAGGCACCTATTATACCTCCACTCATTCTTTTCCTTCATTTCAACACATCTTTGAGCTAGCACACACAAACAAACGTGAGAGAGGGAGAGAAAGGAGAGATTGAGCTCAACCAAAGGATTTGCTAGAAATTGAAGGAATTGGACTTAGAAATGCAAGGATCGAGTTTCTAGCTCTCTCATTGACAAGCCTAGTAAGAATTCAACTTTTAAATTGTACAATTATGATGTGTAGGACATGAACTCTAGAGATTTAAGTTGGACGATACAAGGATTAAGTTATAAATGAAGAGAATTGAACCATATCATACATGCATGCATATATCATGATATTTTGAGTAGATTTCTAAAGAATTTTCCCATGCATGTGTCTATCTTGACCTGGTTTTGAGAAGTCATCACATTTCTTACCATTTGACCTTAATTGATCATATTTTGAAAAGTCTAAGCTCAAAGTAATTCATGCATGTCATGTTCATGGCATATTCATAAATTTCAAGTTGGAGTTTTTGTCAATTGGCTTGCTTTGGGGCATTGATTTAGTGAAACGATCTTCAAATCATGATATTTTACATGTTTCTAAATGTTTTCTAGAATTTTGGCCCAAAAAGATGGGTTTTGAAGTGTGTAATTCAAGTTTTGGACTTGGGAGTGCAATATGGAAATTCCAGAATTTGCAGCCTCCGCTAGAGCGACAAATCCTGCGCTTGAGCGACCACTCTGTGATCATGTGCTTCCGCTCGAGCGACCAAAAGTTTGCTCGAACGTGAAATGCAAGCTCCCAGAAGTTCTCTTGTTTGCAGACTGCTCGAGCAACAAGAATTGTGCTCGAGTGAGGACCTAAGTCTCACGCTCAAGCGACCGTCAAGCGGGAAAATCAAGGAACCGGTACTTTTGCAGAAGTTTACAGACTGCTCGAGTGACAGAAGTTGTGCTCGAGCAACTACTCACATTTTGCATGTCTAATCGAGTGAAGGAAGTTGAGCTCGAGCGGGACCCCTATTTCCAACATTTTTGACCAAGTGTTTACAAATGCATTTTGGCATCCACGTTGCATCTACGAAATTCCTAGGCCAAGATTAAGACATAATATGAAGGATAAGGATTAGAAGCACACTAAGAATGAAACACAAAAAGTTAAGTACCAATCGAGTGTGTGTTTCATTATGTGTTTCTGTTATGTGTGTGTAGGTCACACGTCACAAGTTATCTGATTTGTCTGTTGTGCAAGTGGAGCCATCTGTGAGTAATAACTTTGTAAAGCTATATTCACGTTAAAGTATTTTATTATATGATATGACAAGAAATGATCTCATTTCTGAAATACTATGTGGTGTATCAATGAATGAATGTCCAATTTTTAACAAGTATGCGTGGCATCCTTAGCACAAGACTCTTGTCCAGGGGTAATAATACTGTGGTCTACAAGTGCAAGGCCCTTGCCCGAGGGTAACAATACTGTGGTCTCATAACCCTTACCCGGGGGTAATAATACCGTGGTCCAAGTATGTTACAAGTTTCCCAATACCGGAGGTTCCTTATGGAACTAACAAGCATGATAAAGCTAATGGATGTACCATGTATGACGAAGCATGAACTCTAATTTCTGTATGTAGTTTGAACGAGAATATGAATATGAATCTATTTCTGATATGAACTCTGATTTCTGAATCTGTTCTGGATATCGTTCATTTAAACCCTTTACTCTGTTATTATTCACTGGGCTTCCGCTCATTATTTATATTATGTTATATAGGTGAGCAGGCGCGTGACCAGGCCTAAGTTGCTGCCTAGAGTGTTTTTAAGTCAGCCAACCATTGTGCCTCCTGCGAAGGTTCCCTTTTGAGAAGTCAAGTTCTGTGAACCTCATGAACATGTTTTTATTAGTTGTTTTGTTTATCTGTACGCTGGGCTATGTCCCTCATGACATTATGTATGGTGATACAAGTCTTATGGAAATTTGATATTACATAAGTTTAAACTTATTTGTTTCATGTATGTCTTTACAGCTCAATGGACCTTGTATTTTGTATGATTGCTTCTGCAGCCCCTTATATTTTGTTATTCTGTTAAGAGGTCTTTGGTAATCCCAGATTACTGGCCTGTTACATCGCTAAACCTGAAGGGGCGGGTTTGAGTTGTGACAATATGTGTGACCTTATCATAAAAAACAAAACCTCTATCAAAAGACGCATGATATGAAGCTAAGAAGCCTTTAGAGAGTCTTAAATAATCCATGGAGAAGTGCTAGGGAAACTTCAAACATGAAGTCCTATCTAAAAAATGGCAAGGGACCAACTAAAGACCCAAAAAGGATCAAGTTTGAACTAAAAGTTCAAGTCACATCATTTTGTTCGACAAATCTTGGTGTTTTTTGTCATTGGTTCTACATATAGGTTGGCTAACCAAATTTCATCGCAAGCCATAGTATCAAACCTGCATAGATTTGGTCAACCAATCTCTGCAAATGGTTGACCAAAGGAGTTCCAAAGAATTGCTCCAATAGTTTTGGTCAACCAACCCCTGAAATCAGTGAACCACGCTAGATTTGGTTGACCAAATTTGAAAATGGTCTACCAATTTTGTACAATCTTAACAAAATGTAGTTTTTACTAGCCATTGGAAGGATTGGCCATATAAAGGAACACTTGTGCCCCTTAAATAACTTGGTCAATATTATCATAAGTAAACTTTGAGAGTCATCCTCATTGTAATATTTTTCATAGCATTCTTATCTCAACAAGAAAGGAGCTTTATTCCACCAGGTGCATAACCAAGTTGAACAAGTGTCACACTTCACTTGGACATATGGATCTTTACCATCAATTAGTGTTGTATATAACATGTGATCACCCACCTACACTTTGGTCTCATATAGGGACACCCTCATACCTTTACGTGAGCTCAGCAAGTTAAGTGTTATTTATTGTGGCTTGGTATTTGTGGATCATTGGTGAGCCTAAAAACCCAATTTCTTGGTGATTGTATGTAGAATTGGTTGTGAGGGGTTTTTGGTGAACCTTGAAAAAATAGGTTCTGTTAGTGGAGATTTGACAAGGTAAGTTGGGAGTGTATGTAGGCACAAGATTTATGCCAAACCACTATAAATTTCTTGTGTTCACCACTTTACGTTATTGCACTCATTTTCTTATGCTTATCGAATGAATGTGGAGATGCATATTTGACAAGAATTAAATGAATTGATTGTACGAGGAGAAAAGTAGTGTACGTAAAGTTGAAGTGACCTCCTCATTACCACAAAAACTAACAATTAAAATTAAATTTGTAGAATAGCTCAAAGCAAGTTGACTAAATGTTTACACTTGAGCTAAGGTTGGGTTAGTTTGGTAAATAAACTTGTATGTTTTGATAATTGAACTTTAAAGAACAACATAATTAATCAAGGTATTAATTGCAAAGTGAACTAGGTGCAAAAACAATTAAGTTCAATCAAACATGCGCACACAACACATTTGGATGATCAATAACGTAGTTTGTAGATCAAGGAAAAGCCAAAATTTAAGAATTGTCTCCCCTTTCTTCTCTAGGACACTTTCAAGTATACAAATTATTTTACCATATTTCTTAGAAGGAAAATGTTTTCCATTATTTATGTCATGGATGAATGAAAAAGAAATCCTTCTATTCATTCAGAAACTAAGTTATGCATAGTGAAACTATTTCACACAAACTCATAGATAATCCAAATTTGCATATAGTTCAGTGAAAACCTCTCTCTACATGATCGATCAATAAAACCACAACAAAAACAAAGAAAACAACTGTTCGTTTCGTTTATTTATTGTCATCACTACTTATCTTTAGTAGAGACGCCATACTTCTCCTACAACTTGGTGATCTTGTCCTCCTTCTTCTTCTTATCGAACATCTTGCTCATCTTAGCTTGTTGATAGTAGAGCATAATGAGGTATCGATTGGCGACATTGAAGCCAGAGAGGTGATCGACGACTGTCTTGGCATCGTAGATGTCCTCGTAGACAACGAAGGCAGTGCCTCTGGTGTCCTTATTGGTGTCGATGCGAATCTGGCGAATGGCGCCGTACTTGCCGAATATATCGTACATTTCTTCGCTGGAGATGTTGAAGGGAAGCTTTTGGACGTAGGGAACCCGGTTCACCTCCGGCGGAAGCTGAGCGTTGCCCTTTCGAAGACTGATCGTCACCATTGTTTCTCTGTGTTTTGGTGCTTTTCTGCGAGAGAGAGACAGAGTATTCGAGAAAAGGGGGCTTTTTCCCAATATAAGCCCTTTTTCCATTGTATTTCCAAAACTAGGCCAACTTCTGACGGAATTCCAAAACTAAGTTAAAGCGCCATTACTATTCGCGCTTTTACTGTTAGGAGCGCAAAAGTAGATGAACAGGAAAATCGCTATTACAAATAGCGACTTTGATTAAGAAGTCGCTGTTACAAATAACGCTTCTAGCGTTAGTTTTTGTCCGGATAAAAACGCTTTTTTTAACAGCGCTTTTTACAAAATTTTGTTCAAAAAACGCTATTTCTAATAGCGATTTTAACAAAAAAAATTTCCCACAAAAAACGCTATCTCTAATAGCGATTTCAGTTCAAATTTTGTTGCCAAAAAAACGCTATTTATAATAGCGATTTCAGTTAAATGAAAACGCTTTTTCGATCAGCGTTTTTAAAGTCCTCATATATACGAACGAACCCCCCCTCATTTGCATACGTTTTTCAGATTTTCAGACTTAGGTTTTTCGCTCTCGCTCTGTGCTCTCTGCTTTCGCTCTCGCTCTCGCTCTCGCTCGCTCTCTGCTCTCGCTCGCTCTCTTTCTCTGCCCTCGCTCCTCCATCTCAGCTCGCTCTCGCTCTCTGTCTCTGCTCTCTCTCTCTCTCCGTGGTATGACATTAACCCTAATTTTATGTATTTAGTTTTTGTGTTTGTAAATGTGTTATATTTTTCTGTCAATGTTAGGGTTTTACATGTGAATTATTAAATGTGTTAGGGTTTTTATCATTGTGGTTATGAAATTAGGGTTTGGAATTGTTTGAAATCACAAATCAGGGTTTGGAAATCAGAAATGCGAATGGTTTTGAATTTGTGGAATTTTTTTGCTTTTGAATTTTTGGATGTTGCTTGTGAATTGAATATGGTTATGAATGTTTATGCTTTGTCAGTGTGGTTGTGGTGATGAAATTAGGGTTCGATATCAGATTGTTCACATTATTAGGATTGTTCAAATTAGGATGTCATTTTAGGGTTCACATTATTAAGGGTTATAATGCTTTTAAATTTTTATGCTTTTGAATCATAAATCGGGTTTGTGTTGCAGAAAACCAGGAACATGAGGCAGAAACCTTGGAGCTAGTTTTCAGAGGTTGAAGGTGTGCTATTTTGGTCCAGAACCTGCTGGTCCCTTTGGCTACAAGGGTAACACTCTCATGACCTCCCCTCATGCTCAATCTCTTCACCTTTTCACTCCTCCCATTAACAATTATCCATTCTCCTCTACATTCTCTCATCCTACCAAATTATACAATCTCTATTCTCAAATTCTACAATTTCTCATATATTTATGATTTATTAACATATCAAAATTAAAAAAAAAATAAAAAATTCTGACATAACCCAAGTATTTTATGACCCTCTCAAACATAAATATTATCCAGACACATGCCATTACAACACTTCTAACTAAGTGAACCCTAAAATGACATCCTAATAGTTGAACAATCCTAATTAATGTGAACAATCTGATATCCGAACCCTAATTCATCACCACAACCACCCATCGGCACAAAAGCATAAATCATTACATAACCATATTCATATTTACTTCATTAACCACAATTGATAAAAAACCCTAACATTTTACAGAGAATCAAAACAAATAACAATTATAGTGAGTGCAAAAAATTCAAAAACTAACCTGATTCCAAAAATTCAAATACACTTTAAAAAACCCTAACATTGCTCAAAGAATTATATATCTCTCTAAGACTCCCGCGCTATGCCAAAAAATTCCAAACCCTAGATCTTCATAACCACAATGTAAAAAACCCTAACACATTTGTATTAATTCAACATGTAAAACCCTAACATTGACAGAAAAAAACAACACATTTTACAACACAAAAACTAAATACATAAAATTAGGGTTAATGTCATACCACGGTAGAGAGAGAGAGAGCAGAGACAGAAGAGCGAGAGCGAGCTGGAGATGGAGCGAGCGAGGGCAGAGAAGAGAGGCGAGCGAGAGCAGAGAGCGAGCTATTATATATAATATTTCTTGAACCTGCCGGGTGTAGTTCCACAAAGAGTAGCCTTTTGAGCGCGAGCCGCAGACAGCGAAAAGTGCAGAGAGCCCACAAGCCTGAAAGTAGCGAGAAAAAACTAAGTCTGAAATCTGAAAAACGTATTGCAAATGTGGGGGGGTTCGTGTCGTATTAACCATGAGAACTTTCAAAAACGCTAATCGAAAAAAAAGAACCAGTTTTCATTTACTGAAATCGCTATTTATAAATAGCGTTTTTTTTGGCAACAAAAATTGTGAACTTGAAATCGCTATTAGAGTACGTTTTTGTGGGAAATTTTTTTTTTTTAAAATCGCATTAGAAAACGTTTTTCTGAACAAAAATTTGTAAAAAAGCGCTGTTAAAAAAAAGCGTTTTTAATCCGACAAATAACTAAAACGCTAGAAGCGTTATTTTTATAATTGCGGTATAAACACCGACCCTTCTTAATCCCCAAGTCGCTATTGTAATAGCGATTTCCTGTCATCCACTATATATTCGCTCCTAATCTAGTAAAAGCGGCGGCCCAACTAGCCACAATCGGCTTTAAGCTTAGTTCTGGAAATTCCGTCAGAAGTTATGGCCTAGTCTTTGGAAATACTACAATTGGAAAAAGGGTCTTCAGATGGAGTGCGGAAAAAGCCCCCTTTTCTCGAATACTCTTGCTCTCACTTCGCAGAAAATCACTCAAAACACAGAGAGAAACAATGGTGTGTACACGATTCTATATACATTCGACAAAATACGCCCTTGAGGCAATCCTCTTCGACGCTATCCGCCGGAGGTGAACCGGGCTTCCCTACAGTCCAAAAGCTTTCCCTTTCACATCTCCAGCGAAGAAAATGTACGATATATTACGGCAAGTACGGACGCCATTCGACTCAGTTATGACTTATTCGCATCGACACCAATAAGGACACCAGCAGGCACTGCCTTCGTTGTCTACGAGGACATTACTGATGCCAAGCAGTCGTCGATCACCTTCTGGCGCAATGTCGCCAATCGATACCTCATTATGCTCTACTAGCTCAACAGCTAAGATGAGCAAGATGTTCGATAAGAAGAAGAAGCGAGCGACAGATCCACCAAGTATGTAGGAGAAGTTATGGCGTCTCTACTAAAATAAGTAGTCATGAGAGATAGAGATAAACGAATAGTTAACCCAGATTGTTTTCTTTGTTTTTTGTCCCTCGTGCGTTTTATGATCGATCATGAGAGAGAGGTTTTCACTGAACTATATGCAATTGGATTATCTATGAGTTTGTGTGAAATAGTTCACTATGCATAACTTAGTTTCTTGAATGATAGAAGGATTTCTTTTTTCATTCATCCCATGACCATAAATATGGAAAACATTTTCCTTTCTAAGAAATAGTAAAATAATTTGTATTTTTTTTTTTTTTTTTTTTGTACTTGAAAGTGTCCTAGAAGAAGAAAGGGGAGACAATTCTTAATAAATTTTGGCTTTCCTTGACTACAAACTACGTTATTATGATCATCCAAATGTGTTTGTGTGCGCATGTTTGATTGAACTTAATTGTTTTTGCACCTGGTTCACTGTTGCTAATTAATATACCTCTGAATATTAGTGTATGTTGTTCTTTGAAAGTTCCAATTACAAAACATACCAAAGTTATATTTACCAAACTAAATCCTAACACTATAGCTCAAGTGTAAACATTTAGTCAACTTGCTTTGAGCTATTCTACCAATAGCTTTTATTTTAATTGCTTAGTTTTTGTGGTAATGAGGAGTCACTTCATACTTTACGTACACTACTTTTTCTCCTCGTACAAATCATTCATTTAAGTTCTTGCAAATAGCATCATCTCCAATTCATTCGATAAGCATAAGGAAATAGAAATGATTGAGTGCGAATAAACGTAAAGTGGTGAACTAAACTTAAAGATAGAAATTCACTTTAGTGGTTTCAGGCATAAATTTTGCCACATACACTCCCAACTTACCTGTCAAATCTCA